AGGGGCCCAGATTTTCCCCCAGTAAGAGGCCCAGAGTTTTACCCAGTAGGGGGGCCCCAGAGTTACCCCAGTAGGGGGCCCCCCAATTTTTTCCCCAGAAAGGGGGCCCCCAAAATTTTCCCCCAGTGGGAGCCCCGGGAATTCCCCAGTGGGGACCCCCCAAAGAGTTAACCCATTTGGGGAGACCCAAAATTACCCAGTAGGGGGCCCCCAGAGTTCCCCAGTAGGGGGGCCCCATAGTTTCCCCCCATTAGGAGCCCAATTTTACCCAGTGGGGAGACCCAGAATTACCCAGTAGGGGGCCCCCAATTTAAACCCCATAGGGCCCCCCGATTCCCCATAGGAGACCCAGGGGTACCCAGAAAGGAGACCCGATTACCCATAGGGGGCCCCAGAGTTACCCAGAAAGGAGCCCCCGATTTTCCCCAGTGGGAGACCCAGAGTCCCCAGAAAAAGCCCCCAGATTTTACCCAGAGGGGGCTCAGATTTACCCAGTAGGAGGCCCAGAGTTCCCCGGGAGGAGGCCCAAATTTTACCCATGGGAAAACCCCAGATTACCCATAGGAGGCCCAGAGTTACCCATGGGAGGCCCAGATTTTAACCCAGTAGGAAAACCCAATTCCCCCGTAGGAGGCTCAAGTTCCCCAGTAGGCCCCCCAAGTTTTTTCCCAGTAGGGGGCCCAAAGAGTTCCCCATAGGAGGCTCAAGTTCCCCAGTAGGGGGCCCAGATTACCCAGAAGGAGGCCCATAGTTACCCGGGTTAGGAACCCGGGTTACCCAGTAGGGGGCTCAGATTTTAAACCCAGTGGGAGGCCCGAGTTTCCCATGGGGGCCCCAAAATTTTCCCCCATTGGGAGGCTCAGTTTTTACCCAGAAAGGGGGCCCCAAAATTTCCCAAAAAGGAGGCCCGGGTTTTCCCCCAGTGGGAAACCCCCAGAGTTCCCCCATTAGGAGGCCCAAGTTACCCAAAGGACCCAGAGTTCCCCATAGGGGGCCCCAGATTTAATCCAGTGGGAAACCCCCAGAGTTCCCAGTAGGAAGACCCCCAGAGTTACCCAGTGGGAGACCCCGAGTTACCCAGTAGGAGACCCAGATTTACCCATTGGAGACCCGAAAAAACCCCAAAGGAGACCCAGATTTACCCAGTAGGGGCCCAGATTTTATCCAGTGGGAGACCCAGAGTTCCCAGTAGGAGCCCCAGAGTTACCCATAGGGCCCCCAGATTTAAACCCCCGTGGAAAACCCCCAATTTTACCCAGAAAGGGATCCTTTAGTTCCCCCAGTAGGAGACCCAAGTTCCCCATTATAAATCCCCAGAGTTACCCAGAGGAACCCAGATTTAAACCCAGTAGGAGACCCAGATTTTACCCAGTAGGAGGCCCAGAGTTACCAGTAGAACCCAGATTAAACCCCGTAGGAGATCCAGATTTAAAACCCATTGGGGAAAACCCAGATTTACCCGTAGGAACCCAGAGTTACCCGTAGGAAAACCCGGGTTACCCATGGGAGACCCAGATTTAAACCCAAATAGGAGGCCCAAGTTACCCATTAGGAGCCCCCAAGTTATCCAGTAGGAAAACCCAGATTTACCCAGTAGGAAAACCCCAAAGTTCCCCCTAGGGGGCCCAAAATTTCCCCAGTAGGGGGCCCCAAGTTACCCAGTAGGAAACCCAGAGTTACCCATAGGAGGCCCAGATTTTACCCATAGGAGCCCCAGATTTTCTCAGTAGGGGGCCCCAGATTTTACCCAGTAGGAACCTAGAGTTACCCAGTAGGAGACCCTGAGTTCCCCCAGAGGGGGCCCCAAAGTTTCCCAGTAGGGACCCGATTTTCCCCAAAGGAGGGGGCCCCCAGAAAAACCCAGTAGGACCCCAGATTTAAAACCCAGTAGAGCCCCCAATTTAAACCCATGGGGAGGCCCGGGTTTAATAAAGAAAAGGGAATTGGGTTGGGATTTTTAATCCCCGGGGGGGGGGTTAACCAAACCAAAACCCAAGAAACCCAGTGCGCCCATCGAGGACTGTCAAACCTATTTCCATTGGGGCCCTTAATCTTGCCCCCCCGGGTTTCACCCACACCAGTCGACTAACCCCCAGGTACCTTTTTTGCTCTGGGTTAAACCAGGACAACGGGTGAAAGGGAAACTTTCGAAATTTTTTCCCACCCCCCGGGGAATCAACCCGGGCCCCCCGTGTGTGAAGGGGGGAGCTTTGGGCCACCAGGCCACCGGGCCGGGTTTCACTACATCAAATAAAAAAAAGCAACAGTTGCACACGGAAGTACCAACCCAACGATGAAACACCTTGGTAATAATTTAATAAATACTGAAAATTTTGGCAAACCCGTCAACGTTGTCTAACTGTGAGGTTTCGCGGAGTTTTGTGAGGGTATTTTAGTTTTTTTTAAGTTAGGATTTTCCTCATATTCCAGAAACTCTCACTATGTTTTTTGGGGGGTCCCCTTTTTATGCCACCTGATAAGGTCATGGGGGTCATTGAGGCTTCTTGTTTAAACTGTTCATCCCGGGTGTTAGTGAGGTCTTAAAACCTTAACAAGGGAATTTAGGGTTTTAAATTTAAAATTTCCCTTTTACTGGTGGTTGGGGGTTTGTTTTTTTAATTTGGTCTAGACCAGTTCCCCAAAATGAAAATGGTCTTTGAAGCACGCCCAGGGGCATTTTTGACCCTCGGCAGTGTATGGGTTATAATGACCCACTACACAGGGTCCCCTTATACCCCGGTAATGGGGTTAAATTTACCCTCGGGGGCAGTGGGGCAAATGACCCCCCGTGAGTGGCTCATTAAAGACCCTCGTGTAATGGAAAAAAACATTATGACCCTCGTTTATGGGTCATTTAACCCTCGTGTAAAAGGGCATTAGCCCTCTTTTAATGGGTCATTAAAAAACCCCGTGTAATTTAGTCATTATACCCTCGTGAGTGGGTCCCTTAAAAGACCCCGGGGGTAAGGGGGCTTAGACCCTCCCTGGAAAAGGGGGCATTAAAGACCCTAGTGTAGTGGCATTAGACCCTGTGTATTTTGGGGCAATTTTGGGTCCGTGTATTTGAAAGGGAAATTCCCGGACTCCTTAAAACTCTTTTAGCCATCCTAAAATGACCCTTACGGGTTTTTTTGCTTAACGCTTTTGGGTTGGGGAAAATTTTGGGGGGAAATCAAAAAGAAAAAATCGAACTATGAGGAAAAATTTAAAAAGGTTTGTCCCTCACCAAAACCTGAAAATTGACCTTTAAAATTGGGGGTCCAAGGTTTAAAAATTTAGTCCCCCCAAACATCACACAGTCCAAAATGGGCGGAAGACTCATTCTGGGGATGGCGGGCCCCCCCCCCACCATGCCCTGGCTTCAACTGCGCCCTATCTTTACCTTCCCGGTATATAAAGAGTCCCCACTTCCGTCCTGGACTTCCCTTTTATCAAGATTAATGTACTGAGGGAGGGTTTTTCCCGACTGAGGGACTGATAACCTTATCCCTTCCCCCTTTTCGTAAATCCCTTGAACGATAAAGTCACTCATCAAATGCTGGAAGTCCGTGTGGTTCCTATTTTACAATGGTTTTCAAAATAAAGAAACCTACACAAACACATTTTCAGCCCCCAAAAAAAACTGGGGTTTTCCCGCTGTGAGAAAAGGGAGGTGGGGTGTAGCCCGGGTGAAAGAGGCAGCGGCTGTCTGCTGTGTGGAGAGAGGCAGGCCCGGGTGGGCCCCGGTGTGAGAGGGGGCCCGGTGGCGGGCTGCTTTTGTGAGAGAGGCAGGCGGGTGTCTTCTGTGGTTTAGAGAGGGAAAGGGGGCTGTCTGCTGTGTGTGGGGAGAGGGAGGTGGGGGCGCTGTGTGTGGGGAGAGGCAGGCGGCTGCTGCTGTGTGTGAGAAGGCAGGTGGCTGTCTTCTGTGTGGGAGAGAGGCCAGGCGGCCCCTCTGCTTTTGGGGGAGGAGCAGGCGGCTGTCTGCTGTGGGGGTGAGAGAGGCAGGTTGGGGTCTGCTGTTGTGAAAAGAGGCAGGGGGCGGCCCCCTCGCTGTGTGGAGAGAGGCAGGTGGGTGCTGGGTGGTGTGAGAAGGGGAGGGGGGCTGTCCCGCTGGGGTGTGGAAGGCAGGTGGGGTCTGCTGTTGTGAGAGAGGCAGCGGGGTCTCTGCTTTCCTGGAAAGGGAGGTGGCTGTCCCCGCTGTGTGAGAAGGCAGGGGCTGTCCGCTGGGTGAAGGTTGGGTGTCTTCGGTGTGAGAAGGCAGGGGGCTGTCTGCTGTGTGGGAGAGGGCACGGCTCTCTGCCCTGTGAGAGAGGCAGGGGGGCTGTCTGCTGTGTGTGGAAAAGAGGCAGGGGCTTTCTGCTGTGTGTAAGAGAGGCAGGTTGCTTTTGCTGTTTTTTGAGAGAGAGGCAGGTTGCAGTCTCTGTGTGGAGAGGGCAGGTTGCTGTCTGCTGTGTGTGAGAGAGGGAGGTGGGTGTCTGCTGCCTGTGGGAAAAGGCGATGGCTATCTGTTGTGTGTGGGAAAATTTTGCAGAGTTTTTTTAAAACAAAATGACCTTTGGGGAAAGGGCGGACGCCGGGTCCTTATGGGCCTGACAGACACTCTTGACCCCCGTGGGGTTTTTTTTGTTTTCTCTCTCTCCCTCCTTCCCTCTCTTCTCTCCTCGGCTCTCTTTTCCTCTTCTCTCTCTCCCCTCTTTTCCCCTCCCCCTCTCTCTCCTCTCCCCCTCTCCTCTCTCCCTCTCTCTCTCCTTTCTCTCTCTCAGTTAAAGACCCCAAGATAATTTATTTGGGTCGACGTAACCCTAAAAAAGGGTCTTTATCCAAAGGAAAATGGGACATTTCCCTTTATGTTTTTTTTCGGATTTAAACTTTTTTACGCCAATTCCCCCCTATGCATGACCCCTACGGATTTAGTGCTTTTTCCCGTTAATAATAAAATAAAAAGAATACCAATATCAATAATATTAATAATAATAATAGTAATAATAATAATAATAACAATAATAATAATGATAACTCACGTGGGCGAGGCCAATGAGGAGTCTAAGAATAATGAGGGCGGTATAATGGGCGTGGGCGGCCAGGGGCGTGAAGAAGGTGAGCACTCCGCCCACCAGGATGGCTCCCCCGAACACTCTCTTAGTTCCATACACCTCGGCCAGCCGCCCACCTGGGATCTGTGGGTGGGACGAGGGTGAGCATGGGCGGGAGGAGGGTGAGTGTGGGCGGGAGGAGGGTGAGTGTGGGCGGGAGGAGGGTGAGTGTGGGCGGGAGGAAGAACAGGTAAGTGGACAATTTAAATATAATAATAATACATATTATTACATATTTCGTCCATCTCACCAGACCAGTACAACCTCACATGTCATCAGTGACCTTGAGATCACTTGTTCCTGACTTACTGGGGGTCATGTGATGACCTGGTACACAAACATATCTTGTACACGTTTAGTTTAGAGTGACCTCTGTGTCATCACATAATTATTCAAACAAGTTTAAGCTGAAGTCTTCAGGAAGCGTCTAGTGATACCCGGGTCAGGGCATCACATGACTCAAATTCATTCGCGTCAGCGGACGAACAAACTGACAATAATGTATACGTTCTAGTAGCATACTGAAGAGGACTTAGGTGAAAGGCCGAGACACAAAAATTTTCATCCTCTAACTTCATGTCCCCTAAACGGAGGTTCCTTGACGCTGGTGAGGGGCTCTTGATCTAGGGAACTGGATCTGTGCTCCACTTCCCTGAATTAAGCCAGAATGCCTTCCATTCCCTGTCCCCTCACAAGCGCTGTATAGTCCCTACGGGCTTAGTGCTCCATAATGATAATAATTGACCTTCATGTAGGTTGCTTTCAGGCACCGACCAGCTAGTTATAACTCACGTTCGTTGCGAAGTAACCGTAGAAAAACGCTCCTAGTACGAGGCCCTTCTGTGTCCCCGTTAGCGCCATCTGCGGGAGATACACTCGAGGTTTGTATACATGCTTTACAAAACTGACAAGTTGATAATTGAGGCCACTTGTGCAACATCTGGGAGTAGTGGGCATCACCTGCTTCAAGTAAGTTTATTCAGGTATACGTAAATACAGTTACATAGATTATTATACATAACAGCATATGTGTAGAGAACCTAAGATAACCCAAAAAAAAGTCAAAATGACTTATTTCTATCGGGGTCCTTTTAATACCTTGTTATTATACTATAAAAGAGGTAATATCTAAAAGGAGATAATATCAACTAGTGAGTTATTTCCACTGGTGACTCTGCTTACCACTGCTTCACTTCATTTATCACAAGTATATAACCTCCATCTCCACGAATACGCTACAAACAGTCTTGATGGACTGAATACATTGTCTCCAGGCTGAGGGGCTGATTACCTCAAACTCCTCCTCCTCATCTTCCACTACTCTCTACATTTGACTGAAGAAGCCAACGGCTGGCGAAACGTTTCCAGAATGAAGATTCCTAAATGTTACACAAGTGTCTTAACTAGACCCCCACTAGACGAGGGTCATGATGCCTGTAACTTAGCTTATCACCACCAGACAAGAATACTTTAATCCCCAAAATAGTGATAAAATCTCAGTATATCTACCCTGGGAGAAATACACACTTTCAGAATATACATATGTATGTAAATATACAACTGTGTAACTAATAACTCAAGTATCCCAATGGAAATAAAACATATTGTATGACTCAAGAAATCGTAATGACACGATTGCAAACAAACCATACCCCCGGCCGGGATTGAACCCGCGGTCATAGAGTCTCAAAACTCCAGCCCGTCGCGTTAGCCACTAGACCAGCTAGCCACAATAAGATTCATCCAACTAGGTATATTTCTACACCATAGGAAGGTTAGCACAGGCACCACTGTGACCACAAATGCAAGTTTTTACAGACGAATCTCCAGCTAGCGTGGCCGTGACGAACTCTAGCTCAAGTCCCTTCACTGTCGTCAACATGAAGGGACTTGAGCTAGAGTTCGTCACGGCCACGCTAGCTGGAGATTCGTCTGTAAAAACTTGCATTTGTGGTCACAGTGGTGCCTGTGCTAACCTTCCTAGGGTGTAGAAATATACCTAGTTGGATGAATCTTATTGTGGCTAGCTGGTCTAGTGGCTAACGCGACGGGCTGGAGTTTTGAGACTCTATGACCGCGGGTTCAATCCCGGCCGGGGGTATGGTTTATATTGTATGAATTTACTGGGTTATGACATTTAAATTCTACATAATTTACTATATAAAACCACAGTAAAATCTTCGAATAATGAGGCTTAAATAAAATATTATTCGATCGAAAATGTTTATGTAAACGGCACTTTATTTTGATTTATAAATCTCTGTTATGGAAGAGAGTTCAGTGTGTTATATATCTAAGTGGAGTGCCGACACCACTTACCGTGTACAGTGGCTGCTCGTCCTCCGTGTTGCCCTTAATTGTGCTGGAGTTCACTCCAACCTCCGTTTCCTCCTCCAGCGTCTCCTCCAGTGTGGACAGATTTACCTGC